CATTTTCATGAGTAATTAATTTATGTTTTCTCCAAAAATATAAAGTACATATTTTCTTTCGAATCTCGTCTGAAATGGTTATGTCTTGATGAGTATTTATTTATTAATTGTTATTTTTTTGTTAATTGTTTTTTTAATTTAACCTTCTAAGCGGCTAGAATATTTTTTGTGATATCTGTAAGAACGTATATATACGTGCATATTAAAATATGCCAAAGAAATTAAGGAAATATATCAAAAGAACACAAATCCAGGTATGAAATACCAGCAGTTTTTACATTAAAATCAAAAAAACTAATTTGTTCTCATAGTAATTTTGGCAAATTTGTGCTTTCTTAGCGAAACCCCTGGCCGCTCAGAGTATTAAATAGTGTTTAAGTTAATTATAATTAATTTTTGACTGATTTACTTGTTCTGTTGCAATTCATCCAGATATAATTCAGAAACATGCCTCTGTTGAAAGTTCTAATGACTTCTGTTTAACAGAAACCATGATGTCTCAACTTTTACTTTATTGTTTTTGTATTACTTAACTTCTGTTTTAGGATTGATTTTTCAAGACTGTACATCGTGTTCTTTTTTGATTCGCGCCTTCTTCATGTTAAGCAGCTAGCGACGTTTTTGTAAATTTATATTATATTTTTATTTTTTTTAAATCAATGAATTAATTTAGCAGCATTCAGAGCGAAATTAATAGCATTTAATTATATATACTTCAATGTTTTATATACCTTCTCTCTCTCTCTGTATATCTGTTTGTGTGTGCGTAAGAGGGAGAGTGAGAGCGAGTGCATAACTTTAAATTCGTGTAAGGCCTTATTAAAATTATTCACTCAAAGTAAAATTCATTATATTGCAATAAGGTTAAGCATGTAAAGAAATCAAGGAAACCACGGGAAAGACAAACTTAAAATCAAATGTCTGAGAAAAGAGGAAAAACTTGAATAAAATTCAATGAATTATTTATGATCAGAGGCGACGTTATTATAAAGCACTTACAGGAATTCTGTCCCCCCCCTCCGAAGAAATGATAAAATGACGCCATAAAATCCACAGAATAATGAATTAAAATTGTTTGTAAATGTATTCCTTATTCTATCCCCAACATTCCTGAAAATATACGTAAAGTATTTTGAAGTAAAATCACATATAGATATAGGACGATTTGATTTGCATTTCTAAATGTAGTATTCAGTGATACAATCGTTATTCTAACTAGACGTTTTAGAGCTTTTGTTATTTATTCTGAAAAAAAAATATTTTTTGTGAATGCCATATAATTCGTTTTTAAGTTACAGAAGTCTGCACCTGTGGAAATACGAATTTCGGAGATGCTTTAAGAATGCTTTTAAATTCCTATTTTTTTAGATCGTTTATGATAATGTATATGTCAAAATGTAAGTCAGTATTTATTATTAAGTAATAGAGTATCCGTGAATTTGAACTGAAACTTTGTTTTTCTTCCCGCATCGAATGAATCATAGACAACTACGAGTATGCCTTTAATCTTAACCCTATTACCAGTTGAGCTTTAATGATTTTAAAGCTTTGGAGTTCAGTTATCTACCTTAATAATTTTTAAAAGCAGTCGCAAAATTAGTTCTACTTTAAAACATCTCCAATAATTTCTCTTTTATTGAAGAAAATAAATATAATGCTTTAATTTCTAAAACAATGTTATATATTTTTTACAATAATTTATCTACTTACCTGTATTCTTCACTTTATAATCTGTAGAAAAATAATAACATATCTTTGTACGCATATTAAAATACTTTAACTAAAATTTAAAATTAATTTTCAATGAAGATGAACGCTAATTCCATACTTTCTCTAATTAAGACATGAATTAAGACATGAATCTCAGCAGTAAAAGTTTGTTTTTATTTTTCTTACATCATTAAATGCTTTGGCCACCAGTCTATTAGATGGAAAAGAAAATGTTTGTAAATCGCTTTCCATTTATTGTACTTTCCTCAATTAGATCCTATTAGCTTCTCATTATTCTTACTTTAATCGTATTAAAGAAATAAAACACTTTTTTTTTTTTACTTCGAAACCATTGTTTCTGCGTATTTGGTTAATTTTCTTGGCGAAAACATTTCGACGAAAATTGGTGCTCTTTACGTTTTGTACCCTATTTAAGTTCAAAGTTAAGAATAAAAAAGAATTTCGTTTCACTTCTTTTCTGCCTTGTCATCTCCTTATTGGTTACCGTTAATTGAGGATCAAAGAAAATGTACTTTCTGTTAAATTTGTTTTCATTCTTTTCCGAATAGAGCAGCTGAAATTGTAAGTACACACTCTAGTATTATTGAAAAGCTTTTTCCTTATTTCTTACTTCACTGATGATAAAAGTTGCGTGATGCGGAGTAAAAAATAAAACATTTTCTTTTAAAATAAATAGTCAAGGCGAGAAATGAATTTAACATGGATTTTAAATCCGTTGCTTGGCTGGTTATTTGCTTTTTATGGCATGCAGCTTGCTAAATTTATGAGGGACAGAGCACAATTAAAAATAAGAGAATAAACATAACGTGGAACCTAGAATTATTGAAAACTCATAGAGGAAAATAGTTTTATAGAAAGACAGTAGATAAAAGTTTTGAAACACTCTAAAATATGCTCATAAAACTATATAGTATGATAATATTAAGCTCTTACTTTCTTAGTATGACAATGATAAATATGCAGCATTCATACTATGCATATGACATAAATGTTACGTAATAAAATATGGTACAAGGCATAACTAAAAATATTTCCTTTGAAAGTAAATATAAAACAATTTGATAGCATTAATTATTTATACACCTAATTCATTTACAGTTAGAACTTAAATTTGATATTTTTCATTTCATTTCATTATAGAGCAATTTATAAATATATCTGAAGGTGGTGAAGTTCAGAATCTTATTCTTGAATAGCCTCATACATATTTCTATGAATGATGAATGAATCTGTACTGTTCTAGAGACCAACATTTTAGGGATTCAATGTATGGATATATATCCATATCTTATACATCTAGAATGTTATTAAATAATATATGTTATATTTCAAAATTTGAATGTTATCGTTTCGAAGTCAAGAAAATAAAGCAAATTATCATTACAAAAGTCTTTACAAAAAATAACAAATAATTATATATTGCCATCGTGCTGGAATAAATAATTTTAATAATTAGTTCCAATTAATTCATTATGGTAATTACAAGGTATTACGTAACATCTAATAGATAACCCAATATAAATAACTTTTTATAAGTTTTTCCAATTATTTGCAGTTCGCACATTATGTGGCTAAAATATAAAAAATATTAACAGCTTTTCACTAAGCTGAGCTAACATTGAAACTTTAGGTTCCTAACATGCTTATTGAACACCCAATCAAAATATATAAAACTGATTAATACCCTATGAAAAATGCTTATGGATAAGCATCGATTTGTTTGTAGGCAAACCAAAAGAAAATTCCTTTCCTAATTTTTTTTTCTTTTTATTGTTCAACTTTGGGATTCAAACACCTCATATTATTTTTGCTGTTTGTTATGGATTTGCTGTCTTCCCTCAACGCTTTTCGTTCAAAATATTTCTGAATGTCTAAAAAGAGCGTGATTACCAAAAATAACATCAGCAGTTTTTAAAGCTACGTCTGTCGGTTTGTTCCACTTCATCACTACAAGTTCCAGTGGCTAAAAATGTGACAGCCACGGTTATGCTGGTGAAAATGTGAGCTTGTAAATTCAGTCGATAAATGTTTTCAAAAATGTAAAGTATATAATAAAGCATACGGCACATATCTACTTCCATAAGTGTCATCAAAATCAAATTTAACAATTCCTTTCTTTAAGATATATTCGGAGTCTGAAACAAATATTTTGTTTATGCATTATTCCTGATCCATGACTTAGGGCGTACTTCAAAACACACCTTCTCAACTTTAGTTTCATGACTGACTGACTGACTGCACTAAATAAGTTAAAATTTGTCATCTTATACGCTGCTTCACGTACTGATGATCTCTGATTTTCGGCCCACCAGCGGCCGAGCGGTAAAGTCGCTGAACACTGGTAGTTCGGTCCAAGGTTCGAATCCCGCGAATGGACTGGCTGCATGGGCGTTTTCGTGGTTTCCCCCATGTGTAACGAGTATACGAGCCAGTTCCCCTTAGAAAGTCCTCCACGAAGGCATCCCTCCCCTTAGGCAGATAGCCCTAGTGAGCTTTGCCGTAATTAAATACACCAAAGATCTCTGATTTTCCTTTGAATAACAATATTATTGCATGCGTAGTAATATTCACCTCATTTTTTGTCACACCTTGTTCATCTGTAAAATTAATGAGAAGCTAATAATCATGTGTTGATGATTGCAGTTAACGAAACTCATTTTAAAGGTCTAATATTATTGCAACACTGGTAAATGTTCAATATTAATTACTCAAATTTCCCAAATGCTATTCTGGTGCTTCAGTCGCTCAGTCGGTATAGGGGTCAGAGAAGCTGACTGCGATGCTGAAGGGCCTGGGTTCGAATACCGGAGAAGGCATGGTTGTAACTGTCCGTCCCTTCATAGGAAAGGCGGTGGTGGCCCACCTATTAGGTGCCTCCATAATAAAGAGACCACCACGTCCGGCCTTGTATAGATTAATGGACTGGGTTACATTTGTAATTGTTTACAATCTGCAATTGGAAAAAAAAATGGTGCTTCATCTCACCAAAATAGTATTTATGAACATATGCAGAAAATTTGTTCATTCAAATATTACTTAATCATTGGTCAGTTTATAAATCAGTATAAAGATAGTTTATTTACTAAAAATGAATCACAAAGGAAATCAAAACACCTAAGGATTTGTTTAACAATTTTGTCTGTGAATATAAATCTTTTGACAGAACGAGAGAAATATTTTAGCCTTCAACTGAATACAAACACTTACTTATTTCATGTTAAAATTCTTATATATTTTCTCATAGCATAACAAATCCTTTGTTATTTTAGGTTAACTGTCACAAACAGCTGTCCAATGGACTTAAGGTACTTTCCAATGGATCGCCAGCAGTGTACAGTTGAAGTAGAAAGCTGTAAGTATCTTTTTGTTTTCCCTTTGACAGGGAGTTTAGTACTTATGTAGACTGTCATATTTTAATCTTTATTATCAATTATACAAAGAAATAAACTAAAAAAGCAGTAAAGTTATAGAAGAATAGTATATACTTTATTCCTATTCAGATTATAAGGCTCAGTTATTTATTGAAATATACCATGTTATGCAGACTAAGGAATCATACTCGCTAACATTTTAATTCTGATCCATGAGTAACTTGTAATTAAGGATATGGAAGTATGTCTGAGAAGATGCTTTTATTTATTTTTGAACATCTTTTATAGGCAATCTGCCAAGTTTTGAAGTATAGAAATACATATAGAATATAGAATTTGTAATAAAGAAATAATTTTCATTTAGCATAGTATGCCCCTTGTCGGTATATGATGTTACAATGTTTAAGAATATTTTATATAAAAGAATATGACTGTATTGAAAAAAAAACTGTAATATCGTAAATCTATTCCAAATGGGATTTTTTATAGGTGATAATAACAACACTTCAAGGTTAAGTGGCATTCTTTACCGAACTGCACAGCTGTCTGTAGAACGCATTTAATATTTTCACTGAAAAATATGTTCAGAAGAAGGTAGAAAATGTTGTAAAAGAATTTGATAATTATAACCTCTCATACCAACTATTCATAAACAAAAAACTCGAAAGACTTCGCCGTTTGCAAATTCTTTATTCGTACTGAATTTTGATTAAAATTTTAAACTAATGGTAGTGAGCAATAATGGATTTGATTTACAGCAAAAGAGAAATTAAGATTAGTTAAAATGTATTTGTAAGCAAATCTATAACTATGTTAAATGTATTTTCATCAGCTTTAAATTTGTAGTATGCTGAAATTCACAGTGAAAACTTTTAATTCTATTATTATTGCATTACACTGATTTCTTTTGCAGTATTTTTCAACTTTTATCTCTCCAGATTCTAAGAACATCATTAAATTTTCACCAATATTTGCTATTTTTTTCCTTGAACACAAAATTTAAATTTCATCAATAGAAACTACTTACGAAATAAATAATAGTATTCGATTGGAAGAGAATAATCCTAATGTAATGTTTAAAATTAGACAAAACAGCAGCCTTATTTTAGCACAGATTTGGAATAAAACTCTATTGATTTTGGGGTCATCAAACACTGGTCCTTTTCATTCAAATATTTTTTGCCTCTGAAGAAGCGTAACTTGTGTCTGATCACCATCGTAAATGATAGGGTTTACTTAAAATGCACGTCAAAATAAAGTTTAAGTTTTGCGTAGTTTTAAAAAATTTTAGTTTAGTTCTCTGCTTTTTATTTTAAAAAACCAGTGTTGCAAATCTAGAAGGTATTTTGCTTTATTATGTTAAGTAAAATTTACTGCGGAGTTTATCTTACATATTTATTTCGGTAAATAAATAAAAGAAATTGAAAAAATTCATACTTATGAAAAGAGAGCAAAACCTTAAATGTAATTTTTATTATTTTGTTAACATCAAAATATTATTTCGCTACATACAGTCAATTGTATCTTTTGAGAATCTATCAATAATTCAATTTTACGCATTAAATCACCCTAGTAATTACAATTTTCTATACGAACTGTTCTTAAGAACTTTCTTCAAGCATAAATTTGTTATTATTTGCCTTGAAGCATCAATATCATTTATTCAGAATTACTGAAATCTTTCAAAGTCGCATTTTTTTTTAGAATTTAAGAATCAGATTTCTGTCTGTACTTTAAATTTGATATAATATCTTGCTTTTGTTTAAAAAAATAAATAGTGTTCGAAATGCATTTATGTATATTAACTCAGTCTCAATTTAATAATGTATATAGAAAGTAAAAGACTGAACGTTACATTTAAATTCCAAATGTCTTGATAAAACGTCGTGTATGGAATCCTACCTTATCTCGAATGTACATATTTCTCGAACAGCCAGCGCAGTGCTTTTGAGAGTGCTATTGTCACAGACGTCGCTGGCACCTCGTCAAGTCTGAAACACATTACTATCCCAAATGCGAAAGCATATAATTGAATCAAATTATATTCTGAAGTTGCATAATTGCTTGCAGATACCTGTAGACCAATGATTCAGTTGAACGTTCGATTTCCTAGAGCAGCTTCAGGTAGCACGTTGAGTCGGAAATTTGTTCGATTTTATTCAGAGCATAAATTCATTTCCTATAAGTATGCGTAAAGTGGAATAAATAACCAGGTAAGTGTGAAACTGAATTAATATTTTGCATAATGAGTTGCTGAAATATTAATATGACCGAAATATATAATTATTAACTCATACAATTCATCAGTTAGGACAGGTACGTCATTAACTCAACATTTACGTTTTCAGAACAAATACTTTATATATTACTTATATTTTACTTATGCTCTTACGTAATGCCAATTTCATAATTTAAATAACTCATACGTGCTTTACAATATTATTATATAGTGTTAGACCAAAACGCAGCTCTGTATCATATATTTTAACTTCATAAAATGTGTTCTTTTTCTTTAAGCGTTCAGCTTTTTTTGTTAAAATATGCCACTGGCTGTCCGGTTTGCATAAGTACGGTTCCTGTTTCTAAATCTGTTGTATCTGCGGCGATTTCTAACTTGTCTCCTGTTTCAGGAAATTTCAAGATGAGAGCTTGGATAAATGTCGCTTTTTGCTTTTCAAAAGCCGTGTTTGCTTCCGATGACCAAGTGAATCCATCCCTTTTCCTTTTAAAGTTAAACAAGGGCTCTGTTATGTGACCAAAATCTTTAATAAATACTTTATAATAGGAGCGCAAGCTCAAATATGATGCTAATTTCTTCGCCACTCAGTTGGCGGCCAGTTTTTGATCGCCGCTGTTTTTAAATCCTCCGTTTCTATTACTTTCTCTATTTTATATCCCCGGTACCGAAGTTCTTGGGCCTCAGATATGCGCATTCGCTTTTAAGCCTGTTTTCTTCAGAAGCTGAAAAACTTCATGTAAATCTTCAGTACGCTATTATTTGTGATAATTGTGACTATTATGTCATCTAAGAATATGAATGTTAATTTACCGAGTACAAGATAAAGATGATGTTCATTACCTAGTAGAGTCATTAGGTTGTATCAGTGCGAGAACGTGAAAAATGTGCAGTGCCTCACCGGGATTCAAACTCTGGATTTCTCGAATATACTTCGAGTGTGCTCTCAGTAACACGATGAAGGCATGCGGAAAGAAGGTAGAAAATATGTTATAAACTCCGCCTTTTAATAGGCGACTGAGGATTAGGGAACCAATCGCCAAATCCTAGTGGTGACGAATTATCGTCCACCACATTTTTCTTAGTTTGGGCTCCACTTCTAGAGTCTTTCAGAATTTTCTGAAATAAGGAAATCGAAGAAATGAACAGTGCCCTCTCTCCGTGATTTGAACTAAAGACCGCGATGATTGTGCTTCCAGTTAAAATGAAATAAGTTAGAAAGTAACGACACAATTGCGATATGTTTTATTTTAAAAGAATTAATGTTTACCAACAGAAAATAGATGACCAGTTTCATGTCCTGTAATAAACTCTCAGATAAACTACTTAAATCATGTATTTTAACTAAAAAAAGTGAAAAAAAAACGGTTTTTCTGCTTTCATGACTTTAATTACCTTGCCAAGAATTCCCATCGTTTGGGTAGTATAGCTTATGTCAAGATGTAAACTTTAATTAAACACAGAACGTGACGCCACTGCATAAGACAGTAATTAAAGACAAGCCTTATTTTATTTCCCTCTGCCTTTGGTAGCTAATCAAATGTCAGACAAAAAAAAACACATTTAAGTAATACAAGAATCTTATGAATAACGAAAGATTCATGTTTTAGAATGGCTCTAAAACGACAAACACAAAAACGAAATAATTCCTTATATATATTTGAAAAAAAAAAAAAAAAAAAAAAATGCTATTTAAAATGATTTTCAGTTTCAGAGATTAAAATGGAATAAAAATCTTCTAGAAAATAAGATTTTGATTATAAAGCCAGAGGACGTTAGTTCCGGATCTCGTATGTTAATAAAGCAGTATTTTATTAAATTGTTAAGATAATAGGATAGATAGCAAATAATATGCTATATTATATAATAAGCAACAATAAAAGTCACGTTCCTTCAAAAGAATGACACAAAACGAGTCTGAATCTTACACTATAATATGTGATAAAAACACACCAACATGAATTTTAATAACTAAGAAAATTTACCCTTTCCTTAGGCTTCGATTTAAAATAGGAGTACCACGCAGTTCGAAGTAGGACCGGCGCTAGAGTCGTGCAACCTGTGCAGTCGCACCGGGCGGCAGGATTTAAGGACTGTAAAATATTTTCAACTTAGGATGGAAACTGGCATCGGAATTTCGGATTTGCAGAGTTTGCACCGGGTGGCAAAATGTCTAGCGCGGGTCCTGCTTCGAAGACCATGCAATGCACTCTCCTTTCTTTAGGAGAATAACGGCTTCTTAGTAAGAAAATCTACATTGTCTCTTAAAATGTATATTTTCCTTTCGAAGAAAACTAACGCAACAGGAAGATGTCTTTCAAAATTTCCTTTATTTATTCAAAAACGATTTTTAAATTCACATGCAATATAGTACTTCCTTAGCTCTAACATGAAATTATACAGCGCTTTTTCTATTGGCAGAAAAATCTAATAATACACTTTTATTACTTCTGTTACCTTGAAATTTCATAACTGAATGAAATAACAACAGCACATGTATTTACTTATTCCAACTAAGGACACACACTAAATATTTCTCTTCGTGTTAACTGATTTTTAAAAAAAATTAAGCGTTTCAAATTTTCTTGATGAAAATAAGTAATTATTTCTTGCATATAAATTATCACTTTATTGTCAAAACTTAACTTTCTGTTTACTTTAAGCTAGTTTATTTTAAATTTTCTTTCATTTCTTGCCAGTGTTTGAAAATTTGGCGCAGTCAGTAAACTTCCGAATGGCTATGAT